TGTCTTCTCACTTCAGCATTTCCCATTCCGCGAGCTGGGAGGGACTCGTAGAGATGGGATTGTTCCCAGCTATGGGGATGAGCTACACGATGAGGAACGGGAGTTCTGTGTCCATGCAACTCATACAACATCAAGTCTCAAGGTAACAGCATCTCTTAAATTGAATACTGATGTTGCAGGAATTTTAGGAAACTAATTATCCCAGGAACAGTTGAGTAAACTTCAGAAGAAAAAGGTTTATATTGAGAAATTGGCTAATAAGAGGGATAAGATAATCATACGTAGGGGGGAAAAAAGCCAAGGCTTTTGTTCCTGGACTTTCTTCTCTTACATCACGTTATGGATGCCATTCAAGGAAGCAACCTCTGCAGAATAATTCCAAGTGTTAATTAATCATGTTTCAACAAAAGTGTGCAGGGTCTCAGATTCTACTTGGCTTGGATGTCTAAAGGCAAATTATAAGTTACGTAATAAAACAACAGAATCATTCAACACTGATTTACTTGTTTATTTTGCTATAAGAAATGAAATTTTTATTGGAACGAAATTAAACAAAGGTTTATGTGCTTGTGTTCCCCATAGTCTTTTATACTGTACTAATATAGTAATATTCATAAATCATATCAGAGTTTTCAAATTTTCTCAGCAGTGACCTAGACAACAAACGCTTAACAACTTGCTGAGAGACTTTGAAATTAAATTCAGATGTAATATCATCATAACTAATTTATGGCAAGTTTGGTTGCAACATAGATACACTTAGAGTAACTGAAGTACATTGTGGGGATAAGATAAAACATGGGTTTAGTACCATGTAGTTATTCCACTAGAAAGATTTATTCTATGTTTCATACTTTATTGAACATGGCAAACCAGTGTGTTCCTTGGGAGAGAAGAAATCTTAGATAATTAAACATGTAAATACTAGGCCTTCCACCAAGTAAAACATGGAATGCACCAGATAAGAAATTAAACCTTTATAGCTATTGAAGGAGTCTTGCCCTTGCATATTTGTTAATATGAACGTTCATGCAGACACATGGGCTCTCTATATTAATGTGTAACAGATTTTATATACATGTTTATACATGTTTATACATGCATACAGCCTCCACTTCACAACAGGCATCACAGTAAAATATTATTTAGGGTAACACAGACATTATCTGGTGCAATTGGAATCATGTTTCTGAATTGCCCAACATCCCTTAAACCCATTTTTGTCCCACTGAAACTTTTGAACTTCCTGCAAGGCTCATTATGGCAAATTGAGATTGATGACAAAGTGCAGCATTTTTAAATTATTAGTAACAGAAACAAGATTTTTTCTTTTATCCTTGCTGTTTGGGAAAAGCCTCAGAATTGCTTGGCTTTTGAAGGTCCTCTCCCTGTCCTTTCTAACCCATTCTAAGCAGCTAGCTGGCCAATTAAAACAATCTCTCCTTTGGAAAGCAAGCATTTGTCAGAGTTAAGAATGAAGGCTTTCTTCTACTACATCTATTGTCCCATTCATTCATTTACATAACTACTCCAGTGTTAATCAAGTGCCTGTAGGCATATCTCTAGAAAAGTATAAGGCCATAAAAATAAAGGCAGACATATCTAGTTATAGACGAACCTTCCATGTGCTGCAGATCTTTTCTCACACACTTATCTGGGTTTATCTCCACCTCTTTAAATTGGAAAACTCACAAAAATCTATCTCCTGTGAGATTTCCAAGGTTTCTTGATTTCGTTTGGGTCAGAACTGACACAAAAAGATGCATGTCTCAGAGCATTTCTGAGCTGCTGCCAGGAACAGGGAGTGCTGGACTGTGCCACTAAAAAAAAAAAAAAAAAAAAAAAGTTTTTTTGAGAAGTCACTAAATTTTTTAACCTTTAAAAAATCGGCCTAGTTCAGTCTCGGGTATGATTAAAGAGCTGCCCTGATTTATTGGTGTCAAACAAAGTATGTTAGGGTTGAACATTACGTTGTAATGGAAAAAGTGTCAGTGGAAGCCCTGCCCACCAGCACTGCTCGGGCTGGGTGAGCTCTGAGCCTTACACTGTGTCTCTAAAACTGGAGGAAAAGACTATTAAAAAAAGGAAGAATGCTTTACCTGGAAGTCCATATCCTCTTCTCCCAGATAAAGCTGGCTGTGAAGCCAACCTCAGCATCTGGGGTTCTGCTGATTAAACTATCACAGAAATCATGAAATATACTGAGTTGGAAGGGACTCATCTGGATCATCTGATGTTTGCTTGTGCCTCACCCTGGCCTTGCAATGTAAAATGAAATAAGTTTCTTGTTCCCCATCCCATAAGGAATGCTAAGCCACGAATATGGAGTGATGGTTTGGGGAATGTTTCATGGAATAAACTTTCCATACACATAAATTTAATAAAAAAATAATATTCTCCAGTTGCTACCATAGTTGCTTCCTGCTGTCCTTTAATTTTGCACTTTTTCTTTTCTCTTGTAAATGGCAAATTAATTTTATTTTGACTGTGTTTTTGTTCTTGCTCATTGTCTTACCCAGAGCAATGCTCTCTTAGAGCACTGTCACAAGAACATGCCAGAACTGCCCAGAGACAAATGGAAAATGAAATGTAAGAGATGCAGGGGAGCCAAGCCTGCTGTTAATAACCCAGTCTGTTTCAGACATACTTGTCCCACCATCCTCCTTCTGAAGTATTTTTAATAGAACCCCTATGCAAAGGGAGACCTTAATAAGACGCCTACTCCTGCCCTTCCTGGAACCACCATGTTCATTTTTCTTGAAAATATTCAACTGTGGTAACTTCTGGCTTTTAATCTGATTTATGACCCTTTGAGATGCCGTTGAGGTTATAGTTGAGGCCCTTAAACTGGACAAAATTACATAAACAAAACATAAATTTAATTTGGTAAACTTATGATAAAAATTATATCAAAAAATCAGCACTGACAGGAAAACTCTTACGTGAAAAATTATACTGGAATTAGCAGAGTCCTCTGCACCTATACACATTTCTTCTAGCAGATATTCTGCCTGTCTTACTTTTGGGCAAATACTTTTGATCAAAATGTTGCAGACTAAAAAAGGTGGTCCTCATTTTGTAGTGCTTGTTTTGGGTGAACAAAATTATCTTCTGTCTTTAGATGTTTATGATTATTTGAAAGCAACTTGATGAATAGAAGACCGTGTACTCCCACTTGGGGCAAATGTATTTTTTGATTGATTCATGATAATTAATCTTTGTCTAAGTGGAATGCATTAATTTCTCCTACTGGTGGTGACTGTACTTCTGTTTCTTTTCCTAAGTTAGATGGTTGTGCTCCAGAGGCATATTTGCTGATTAAATTGGACTGCAACCGGGTACTTAGGTTATGTCACTGTTACCCAAATGATCTTTTAAAGAACACAGAGTACTTGTTTTTGCTGCTCTTACGTGCTCCACATTTAATCACAGATCTTTGTAGCTTGTTATTTCTAAAATTCAGATTACTGTGACTTAAAAGCCTCTCTGTCCTTGCCAGTGCTCGGTGACATAAAATAAACCCACATATTAAGAAAAGAACCACAAAACTTGTCAAGTTGCACTGAGGGATGGAAAGAAAAAGCAAGAATGCTTTACAGTGATTTGAAAATGCCGTCTGCAGCACAGCTATAAAGGGAAATGCTATAATAAGTTGATATTATCCATGTAGCCAGGACTGCTTTTGAGAGTGCTGTTACACAGCAGCACCCCTGGGGCAGGGTCCTGTTGAGTGTGGTGTCCCAGGGCGTGGGTGAGACACAGACACAGCAGGAGAGGGTCCATGCCCTGGGGAACATGCGAGTGCCACTGGGCAGCAGGACTGGGAGGAGAAAGCAGAGGGAGAGATCCCCCACCAGTGTCCTGCTGCTCCTTGGTGAGAGCAGCCCCCAAACCCCCGTTTGCTTCTCCCCACCCTTCTGTGGGCTGGCTGAGACCCTCGGGCTCACTTGTGGCTGGCCCTGAGCCTCCAGTGCAGAGCAGAGTGCCTGTTGCCATCTTCCTCCCACTGCCTCCTCCTCCTCCTGGTCGCCAGGGACTGAGCGGGATGGAGACAGAGCTGGCACGGCCTCACACTGGAGTGCTCCAAGTTCCTTTTTTAGTAAAATTGCTTTGTCTCTGAACCCGCTCACCCCGTGCCTCCCTCCTTGCTCTCAGCCTGCTGGAGGTGCCAGGGTGTTGTGCCAGGAGTACTCCTCATCCTCAGAGATGGAACATCCCCGGGTCCTGCAGCCTGTGTCCCATGCCCCAGTTCTGTGTCAGGTTTCCCCAGGACAAGGGGCCTGTCCTCCAGCCCCAGCACATCCCTCTCTGGTGAGGCCTGGTGGCAGCATTGCTCCTTTGTTCTTTTAAGACATGGCATCTAAGGAATGGACAGAAACCAACAATGCTTTTTTTTTTTTCTTTTGGCCTGGGATAACAAATTGCTTGCGTGCAGCTATAAAACACTGCACTCGGGCAGGGTTTCACTGGCAGCAGGATGAAGGGCTCTGCACAGCTTCATTAGCTCCTTCCACACTCGCTTTTGCCTTTCCTTGCTGCTCCTCCACAGCCCACGATGGTGCTGCTGGGGCATGGCCAGGGTGCCAGGGAGGAAAATTATACCAAGGGATGAAGGGGGCAACTACCTGTCTTTGTTGTGCTCCGTTCCCAGTTCTGATGCCTTCCAAATTCAGACAGGGCTTTGGCCCTGAGTCTTTGCCAGCATTTCACCACATGAACGCTTTCCTTGTCCAGACAAACACCTCTTCTAGGTCAGATGACAGTTTGGGATGGGGGAGACAAACACCTCTTCTAGGTCAGATGACATCTGACCTAGATGATGAATGGCATCATCTAGGGATGAATGGCATCAAGCTGGCCTCAGTGAAGGTGCCTGAGCGAGGCAGTGGGCACAAGGGTTGTGAGGAGTGGGTGGGTGGACAGGGATCAGAACCAGGTGAAGGGGGCTTTGGTTAGAATGTGGGAGTCAGGGAGTTAATGAGCTGCTAACAAGGCTGATAAAGAAACTGTGGAGATAAATACAATGAGAATTAAGCAGGGGGGATGGTTGGAGACTGGGTGTGGGCATAAACAGTGAATGTAAAACAAGAATGTAATTAAGGTGGAGGACAAATTTAGCTAAGAGGTGAGGCTGCAGTGAGAGCAGGACATCTGGAGCTGAAGGTAAGAAGGGGCAGACTTACATTCAAACTGCTGTTACCTATCAGGATGTTGTTTTCTCCAGTATCTGGAGCTCAGTGCTCCAGGTTCAGCTCTGAGCTCTGGCAAAGGGTCCCTGCCTCTCCCATTCCAGAGGCCACCTGCATCTCTGACAGAATACAGAGCAGCTGCCTGCACGTGCCCTGTCTGTGTGGCTGCATGAGAAGTGGACAAGAGTGGCTCTGGTTTGGCCAAACCATGTGCTGCACAGTGATGCCATCCTTGATGACATGATGGTACTTCTAGGTGTTGAGACAGGTTTTCTATTTTTATTCATATTCAATTTATTTATTTCTAAATAAATGGTCTCCTGCCATGCTGGGTGGCTCTGCTCTAGTGTCAGATCTTGGAAGCAGCATGTTATCTTTCAGGTTCATCTTCCTGGGTGATGGAGGTGAGTGTGGGACTTCAGGGCAAGGCAAGATGGTCCTGTGATTAAGGTCTCTTGCATTTCAGTGCCCTCCCAATGAACTGGGTTCAGTTTCCTCAGTTACCCAAACTAAACTCTTTCAGGATGATTGCTTCTGTGGTTTTGGCCAGGGATTGGGGTTTTTTGCAGATGTTGCATATTTCCAATATAGATATTAATGAGAGCTGAGTCTTACATGTACAGTGTAAAGGCCCTTGTAATGATTTTTGGACAGTTTGGACACCCCAAAATTTCTGAAACTTTTTTATTTTTATTATTTCTCACCCCTCTCTGTTCTCACAACATGGGATTTAGCTGCAGGAATACTTTTGTTGCTTTTGGATGATCCACTAATGAGAAGTACAGAAAACCCAAGAGGATATGAATAATTTTCTCTTATGTGCTCAAGCAACAGGCAGCAAGTAAGGCTTGGTGCAGTATACAGCAAATAGAAAACGAAAAGTAAAATCATAAAATGTATCCTCCATGCTGTACAAATGAAGGACAGAAAACTCCTAGGAAAATCTCTGGGAATTCAGCTGCACTTGCATAACTCCAGTTAGTGTGAAGAGACTGTTCATGGAAGTCCTTGTACTTCTGTGAGGTAAGGTCCTATTTGAACTTCTCATTTGACATTGGATTGTATTTATTCTGACACAACGTGTTATATTGCACTGTGAATAAAACAGTCAGTTACTGACAGAGTTCTTATATGTGCCTTGAGGGATGGTGATGGTGATGTTACTGGCCCATGCACTAGAGGCTGAAGATGGCTGTTCAGTTTCTACATCTCTGAACCCCATTGGGAACCTGAATTGTTCACCTGAATGCTCATTTTTTATGTTTTCTACTAAAACAGTTTTAAACATCTCTGAATTCTTGCTTGTTTGTCATAAAGGAGGAAAAAAAACACCAAATGAGAATCAAAGAAAGGATTTTCTTTGTGACTTCAGCTCCTCATTAGGAGGTTTATGATCAGGCTTAAGGAAAGCTTTCCTTGAATTATTTTAAGGTTCTAATGATAAAAACCTTGGGGAGGTCATGCACATGAGGGATTTAATACCCATTCAGAACCATCTGGCATTATATTACATGCAGGGAAAGAACAAAATCTGGCAGTAGTACTTATCTCCATTAACCCAGAGTACAGGCTGATATGATTGTAGCAGAGAAAATACCCTCTCTCTTTAACCAGGAAGAGTTCTTAATAGACTTGGGCTAAATTGGCTTGTAAAACCAAAGACTTATTGAAGTGTGGATCTGCTATCTCATTGAGTGCATTTGCTTTGGCTTTTAATGCATATTTCATATCTCTTTAACCTTGACAACTAATACGTTAAGGTATAAAATACTGCTGGGATGAAGGACTGTGTTTGCAGATCCTCACTCACTCTGTGGGAGTTAGGAATGTAATCATCATGCTGAAGTAGAGCCAGTGTTGCCCCTGCCTTTTCCCTAGAGCATCACAGAGTGCACAGTCCCAGTGACATCCTCAGCAAAACTCCTGATGATGTCAGGTGTGACAGGTAACCTTCCCTCCAAGACTCTGAACCACCTAGGTGCTAAAGCACATGCTTGGCCTGAAGCAAACTGACCAGTGAGTGGTTTGGTCCAAGCCCAGCTGAGAGAGTGAACAATGCCAGGGAGGTGATCCTTTCTCATCCAGATTAACTACCTTTCACCCCACCTGCTGGGCAGGCTCTCTTCAGGCTCCTGAGCTGCTCGTTACTGCTGTACCACTTTCATCTTGTCATACTCCATCAGGATCCTCCATGGAGGGCTTCTTCCTGCCCTCCAATTTTTTCTCTCCTCTTCCCTGCTTTCCCAGCTTGGTGCAGACTGAGAGCTGCTCTCTTTCAGCCAATGTTATTATTCTCTTACTACATGGAAAGCAAAACCATATGGAAGACAAGATAAAGGCCATTTATCTTGAAGTCTACTGAGATGTGAACATCTCACATTAAGGCTGCAGTTCAGCCAGGCTGTCTCGCACATGTTGCTGTCATCTCTTTCCACCAGAACAGAGATGGACTCCTGCGTCAGCCAAAACAATCTTCTTAGCTTGTCATCTGCTTTGTACTTAACACAGCCTTGCATGCAAAACATTCAAAGGGAAAAAGAAAAAGCTATTATTGTTATGTCTTTTCTTTTGTTCTGAGAAGCCACCTGTGCCAGCTCTCCCTTTGAAAACTGCTGTCTGGTGAAGGAAATTGCTACCATCCTGATAGGGCTGAGTTTGGTAAATGCTACGTGCATCGAGCTTGGAAAAGGAAAGTTTGTTCTGTATTCATTAATGAATGCCTCTCTCTAAATAGATGAAAGATCATGGAATGACTTGTGTTGGAAAGAGCTTAAAGATCATCTTGTTCCACCTCCCCCCTGCCTTGGGTAGGGACACCTTCCACTCCATACTGTGGAGCCATGTCCCTCACCTCATAGCCCTGGTGACAGTTCATTCTCTTTTCATTCCAGCACAACTACAGCCAACAAACCTGTCTACTGATTCTGGACTGAGCTTGCGGTAAATATCTTTCATATCCTGTCAGCCACAGCCATCCTGAAGCAGTCAGGGCACTGCACTTGCGTAAGCAACGCTGTTGCCATCTTTCAATCACTGCTCTTGGGGAACTGCTCAAACTCTCACACTTTGAATGATTCCAGCTGTTCTCCACTCCCTCGGAGACAGCATGAGAAAGCAGTCCCTTACACTGAGATTACTTTAGTGATATCAAAGGGTGTGGAAGAAGGCTGCTAATTAGTAAACCCTCAAGGTATGAAGATGTAAACAGCCCTGGAGCAGCAAGAACAGATCCAAATCTGCAGAATAACATTATCTTGGGATGAAAGTGTTACATTTAGGCTGATTCAACTAGAGAAGAGTGACTGAACATTCCTGTTGAGGGTTTGTTTGGATTGATAAAACTCCTTGTTGGGTTGTGCAGCATATTATCAATTTATTGAGCCACCTGCCAAGGCTGAGCCAGGAGGAGTGGTAGCAAGAACTTAGTCTGGGATGAGCAATCATGAGGGAAATTTCTGGCGTGTATTTTTGCTTATATAAATAAATAAATGCATATCTCAATTCCCTTTGCCAAAAGTCAAAAATGCTTTGGGGGTCCAGCTAAAAGGCAAAAAAAAAATTGTGATAAACAGTTGACATTCATCTACTAAGCATTTGCTAAAAAAGTGAGCTTATCCTGCCCAATGTGCTTGTGGCAGAGGTGAAATGTCAGGGCTGGAAGAGATGGAAATCACACAATTGACTCTTCTTGATCCCTTTGTATACTCAGGAGCCACATCCCTCATCTCATAGCCCTGGTGAGAGTTCATTCTCTCTTCATTCCAGCACAACTACAACGAACAAACCTGTCAGCTGCTCTTAAAAGGCCCTCCTGCATTCTGACATAAAATACTGCACTCCTCCACACTTTCCATAGGGATTACTTATGAGGTTTTTTAGTCTCCTATGCTGAGTCTCTTGAACATTACACAAAGCAGCCACTGGCAGTGGCTTGACAGCACTGTCCCCCTGTGCTAAATGTAGAGATCTTGGGTTTAAAGTGAAGGTTGTCTTAAGGGAAAAGGAGGAAAAACGTATAAACTAAACCAAGCTTCCCTTCAAAATACCAGCCCAGCCATAAGTGTGGACTTGCACAGCTGTTCCCAAGGGCAGGATCAGAGCACTGTGCATCAGGAGCACTTCTGCAGGACCACACAAGTTTACTGCTGTTCTTAAATCCCAACCTCACAACTGGGAAATTCCTGCCAAGCTGTTTGAGATGGGGGTACCTGGGAAATATTAGATGAGTCTGCATTGCATCATGAGAACACTATTTGCACTTAATTATGCATATCCCTCTTCTCCCAGCAGACAGATGTGCATCCACAGAGTGAGAAAGAAACAGTTTTGAAGTGGAATCTGACAGCAAGAAGTCTAAGAGCAGGCTTCAGACAATCCCAGCAATGGAGACCTTCAAGGTATTGCACAGTTCAGACCAGCAGATGTTGGTTTTCTCCGCAGCAACAATTCCCATCCATCCCAGTCCAGTTAACATCTTATTTCAAACAGGTTGTCTTGCACTTCTGCCTCCTTATGCTGGAATGTTGGTGGAGAGGTCCTGACCTCCCTTCTCTCCTTTGGGCCCTCTCTGTGAGTCCATCTTTCAGCCAAAAGTCTGCATGTTATCTCCTGCCAGGTGTTCTGGATGGTGCTCATCATAACAGCCTTACCCAAAGCCTGTTAAGATCCCTCTCCAGGATTACCCTGCCTCTGTGTCTGAGGCAGTAGCTTAATAGGCACCAACTGGGCTATTTCATCTTCTAAAGCAGACTGGTCTTGCAGGGATGGGTGATGGGCAGGCAGGAAAGCCTCCTGTCAGTTCTGCTGGCCCCCAGCACAAACTGCAGCATCAGGCTGCTGTGTTTGAGCAGAGCAGATGCCCTGTAAACAGACACAGCTGGTAGGTGAGCACAGATCCATCACCAGCCAACACCTGCCTGCACTAAACCCCAGCCTGTTTACTCCTTGGAACAACAAGGTGCTTCCCCTTCACGGGGCAGTCCCAGGGTGTACTAACAAATGTGCAAACCAGGCTTTTGGAAGCAATTCCTTGGAAGTGTGAGTCTCCAGTGGGATTTCTAACTTGGGCCTGTTGTTGTGTCAGTCCCAGGGTGTACTAACAAATGTGCAAACCAGGCTTTTGGAAGCAATTCCTTGTGATTCTCCAGTGGCATTTCTAACTTGGGCCTGTTTTGCGTACTCAGGGGCTTTACCCTTTCATCCTCCCCTCCTTTGCACATCAAATCCCCCATCCCCTGATCCAAGACAGGAAATTTCTGTTTACATCAAGCCATGGTGATGCAGACACTAATCTGGCACGAGCCTGGGCTGCTGTATGGGGTTGATGCTTTTCTCACCATCTCCCTCACACTGGCTCTACAATTCATGGGTTTGGGCTTTAATTCTGTAGGTACCTTAAAGAAGTCCCAGGAGGTATGATGGAAAAGTATGTTTATCAGACATAGCATAGCTGAGTAAATAAAGTGAAAGGTCCACTCATGAAATGCAAATTTATCAAGGAAACTTTCAGTTTACCTTGTTCAACAATTTTGCAGGTGGGGATTATTGCCTTGGGAGAGGAATTCCTCCATATTTTGTCCTGGCTGTTCATCTGCATGGAGCCCCTGGACACAAAGTTTGAGTTCCTGCAGCTGCCTCAGCCCTGCTTCTCTGCAGGATGGCTTTCTGTACAGAGGGGGGGTCTCTGCTGCAGTTTCACTGTAAAACTTAGTCTAACTAAATCTGTCACTTATTTAGGTGCATTCTGGATTTATAAGCCAGAAAAGTAAAATATATGTGAGCAAAGTGGCACTTTGACACTCTTCAAAATTTCAAGTGTCTTTTTCAGGTGGATGTGCAATTCATTCTGTAGAGGAATCAACACTTTTTCATATATATTTATTTTAATATGTATTAGGGCTCCAATAAAACATTGTGATCCTTAAAAATTACCAACAAAACCCCACAAAAAACAAAAACACATCCCAACCAATAGTTTAGTTTTCCTGTTTACTTTGGCATGTGGTTTAAACACATTCTTCTCAATACACCAAGTATTGTGTCTTGCTTATTTGACACATTCAGAAAACATATGTGTCTAGCTTTGCAGCTGAAATGTGAGACATCATTGCAATTAAATGTTTATATGCTGAGAAACACAGTGTCTTTATACAACACAAGGCACTGTGTTCAATGCATATTAAATACTAGATATTCAATGCATACTGAATAATGTGAGGTGGAAAATGTTTCTTTTGCTACAATCATAATTGTTTTCTTTATAGTTCTAGGAAGTTATCCCACACTCTTTAAATGTGTTTCCAAATTTAATGAAGTGTCTGGTTTAATGATGTGTCTGTTTTAATGACATAGGAATCCCAGTCAGAAAGCTTCATTATGTGAAGATGAAAAGAGGGGTGTTTTCGTCCCAAATCCTGTTCCACTAGGAGGCAATGGCTCAGGTTTCCTTCTGTTCTGGAAAAAATACCATGAAGATGATCTCATGGATATCACAGATTTTCAGCTTCCTCCAGAAAATGGTAAACTGGACAGTAAGTGGACATTTTCATTATTAAATTCCTTTCAGAACTGGGAAAGTGATATTCATTGAAGGCTTCTGAATCTGATTGTGTGTCATCTGGCCATTTAATTATTCAATAAGCAGTGCTGGCCAAGGAATGTAAACTGAAATTGCTGTAAATTAGCTCTGGTATGACACAGTCCCTATAATTGATGTTGCTTTTGCACAAACTCTCTCGCAACTTTTTGGCATTGAATTAATTCTGTTTTTCACATTAGTAGCCAGGTAATATTGAGTAGTGCAAGATCTCTTACCTGTATTGGGGTATTTTTTTGTTGTAGGGGGGAGGACATGCTGTACTTCAAACTGAGTTTGATTCAGCTGCTACACAGGCAGCGACTTGCCAGAATGAAAGCTATTTTTGTGGCTGGAACAAAAGAAAAGCAATTGAGATTTCGTGGAAAACTGTTTGGATCCTGCTGCAGCTGAGAGGCTGAAGTGTCTGTCTCTGCAGGACTCCTTCTGGACGTCCTTTCTGGTTACACATGTGCCCAAGTATTCTGTGGAACCGGGCCCTCAAAGCAAGAGAAACACCCACACACTTCCACAGACTATCCAGGGACACAAACACTTTCCAGTCTTCCCCCAGAAAAACCCGCCTTGTCCTTGCCCTGCTGAGAAGCTCAACCTCAGCAGCAAAGACAGCTCTGCCCAGATCACCCAGCACTGCTGGTGTGGGAGGGACAGATCCCCCTGCATCTCTCAGGGAGCAGCTGAGGTTTTCCTCTCACTGCAGAATATACTTCCTGATGCAACTGAAGCATTTCTGGATTCTTGTTTTATTAGTGCTATTCCAGCCAGAATCTGCAGCCATCTCATCCCAAACCAGCTGCATACAGCCAGAGCAATGCAAGGGTATACTTAGAGGGTATAATCTTTTCTTAAAGCAAGAATAAATGTTACTCTTCTCTGAGCTAGGAGAAATATTTATTAGATGTGCTTAAGCATGTGTGTTGCTCTAGGATCAGGCAAGAAAATGAACAGTGACTCTTACTTCATTGTTGCAGGATGAGGAAGGATGGAGAGCAGCTGGCCCCTGCCTGGATGCTCTGAGTGAACAACAAAATGAGTTAGGTCAGGGTTTTCCTCACTCACACTCCTGTTGGGTTACTCAGAGCTGGCCTGCTGCCCTGCTCTCTCCACTGCAGCATCGAGGATGGAAGTGGAGGTTTTGCTGTTCTGTGAGGCTCAGCAAGCTGGGGATGTTCTGCCTGGCCAGCAGGACAGGAACCCTTCAGTGGCATAGCACTGCCTGCTGAAAACCTCACCAGGAAGCAAAAAGCTTAAAAGCTATTACATTTATTATTTGCTTGCTTAATTTGCTCTCTCTGTTGTGTCAGACAGACAGACAGACTGTGCAGGGCATGAGGAGATGCCTGGAAGGAGGGATGTGCCTCTGGCTGCCCAAAGCCCAGGTTTTCTCGGTGTGCAGCACCTTCAGTTCAGTGTGGCACTGAATGGATGCTGCACTTCCAATGCTGATCCAGGCTGCAGGGCAGGGGCAGCAAAGGCACTGTGCTCTGCCAGCCCCAACATCAGCCCCACCAAGCCAGCAGAACCTGGCCTGGCCAAAAACCCACCTGGCTTTGAGCCTCTCCAGGATTCTGTGCACACACCGAGTTCCTGCCTGCCTGCTGGCCAGTGTAACCTGCAGGTTGATGAATCCAGCCTACATTGACTTGAATGGCTTTTTGTTCAAAGTTTGTCAATGTTTTGAGAATACCTGGGTGAAATTTCCTTTTTCCATTTGAAATAAAAGAGAAATGTGCACATTGAAAGATGCAAAAGGCATTCAAGAAGTGCACAGATCATCATTTCAGGCATTCTGAGCAGTGGGATTGAGTGAAATCATTTATAGCATCTGTTTTGATATTAGAGTGGTTTTAAGCTGTAGAGTCCCACTAAACAATTTTGAGAAATAAATCTTTCCTAGGTAACTTTTAATCTGTTCCATTGTTTTCTCAGTGTGCAGCACCTTCAGTTCAGTGTGGCACTGATCTGTTCAATTGTTTTCTCAGTCAGTATTGCTGTGCTCTGCCAAACATCAGTGCAGTTGTGTAACTACAGCAAGACACTTTCAGCTAGATAAACCAATGCTTTCTCATAGCACTGCAAAAAATAAATATATAAAAATAAATAGATTCAGGGACAATTTGTCCAACAATAATCTATAGCACAGAGGGGATTCTGGAGTCATCTTCAAAGTATATGTTGATTTCCTTAAAATGACCTACAAACATCTCTCTAGTCTGCAAGGACTCCAGAGGGATTTTTGATATAATATATTTAGGTTATTAAATTACTCTTGGAAATGTGGAGCTGACCTCCAGTGGAAATATTTCTGTGAAAACATTGGCAAACACTTAATTTGGTGAATTTTCCTCTAGTGTTTCTGTCCTAAAATCAAAATAAACAATAAAAACATATTGGATAGGGGAAAAAAAAACACAATAAGACAATTTTGTTGCATTTTCTGATATGTGATACTGTCTAACTGCTAATAAATAATGGACACACCTACTTTTAGCAGATACTCCAAGTTCAAGATGCCTTTGAGGTTGCATGTAAAATGGGATGAAATTGCCATCCCTTTAGTGCTGATTTAGCCTGGAGCTGCTGAGAAGCCTCAGCTCTCCATTGCTCCATTCAGACCAACAGGAACGTGCTGGGGTGATGAATTTGCCATCCCTTTAGTGCTGATTTAGCCTGGAGCTGCTGAGAAGCCTCAGCTCTCCATTGTTCCGTGCAGACAACAGGAACGGAGGGGATTCCTGGGGACAGATTTTTGGCTCAGAGAGGCAGGGAACGGTGGGAGGTGACACGGCAGAGGAGCACTCAGAGTCCTGACACTGCCCTGAAATGAGCCTGGTTTGGAGACCTGCAGGGGCGTTTCCATCTCACAGCTGCCACCCAACAACCAAATTTTCCTGGCAGGAGCTCTAATCTGATGAATGCTTCACTTCTTATAAAAATTAAGCAATTCCAGCAGGAGGCAGAAAAAAACCCAGAAACCTGTAATGAGCAGAAAAAGGACTTGAACCTGAGCCTCTTGCACTGAGATGAGTACTTGCATGTGTATTTTTGACATTAAAAAGACTGGTTTGATTTTGATTAATAAACCTATCTTGAAGAGTTCAGGTGATGGATTTCTGGGTGCTTTCGGGTTCTTTACAGAGAATTTTGATTAAGTCCTTTAGTAACGGCCTGAAAAATTAAGGCATCCTCCTTATGACCTTTTAAATTTCCAGACTGAGCATGCTATAATAAAATCTTTGCAGAATCTGTTGCCCTACTCTATATGATACTTGTTTGACATGAATACCCCAAAAGCAGTTTCCCATCTGACAAGCTGAGTTTCTCCAGCATTACCCAGCTTGTCCAGCAGCTTTTGCTGGAGAAACCCAGTCTGGTAACTGATGCTGTTACAATCTCTGCATCTCCTGGGTAGCCTTTAAGGTAAAATCCTGTATTTGGCATTTTTCCTGGGCAGAAGGGCCCCAAGGTCCTGTTCCTTAAACCCAAACTTCATGCTAGAGTAGTTACATGCCTCCAGGCATTTTGAGAGCTCATTAACCAGAGGGAAAAAAAAAAAGGAAAAGAAAAAAAGAGTGATAAAAAACCATGGGACACAGGGATAGCAGAGATATGTTTTAAGTACAGGAAATGTTATTTTTAAACAGCTTGAGAGGGTTAAATCAACAAAATTCTAAACTCTTCCCAGCAGACCTCGTTCCCATCTCCTCAAAAGCACAAAGTCTGGACAGCATCCCCAGGCCAGATCTCAAATCCTGCTTTCTGAGCCCTGCCTCCTCAGCCGTGCCTGTGGAGGGGCTGTTGGCACACTGGCCCCTTTTCACACTCAATTTCTGGTGTTCTGGCTCAGTCCAAGTCATCCAGCAGTAGTCACAGAACAGAATCATAGAATCATTAAGGTAGGAACAGACCTCTAAGATTGCTGAGTTCGACCATAACTCTTAATGCTGTCGTTTGCTGTAATCTTTCCACTTGGTATCAAGCTCTTCCAAAAAAAACCCTCCTTGATATTTCATGTCAGCACAGTGCAAAAAAAGCCAGAAATGTGAATTATAATGCAAAATAAGAATGTAAAGTAAGGATGAGCAGGTAACATAAAGGTCTACAAGGCAAAGCTAAGGTCACTGTTATTTGTACAATGGCTCCTACTGGTAAATGTTGAGATAATTCTAAAATCAATTTAGCAGCACATGACCCAGATCAGATCCCAGAATCCTGATGTTCCTGATATGTGAGAAACAGAGCTGCATCTCTGCCATGCACCCAAGTGCTTTTCCTTGCAGCAAGGTAATCAGCAGTTCTGTGGTCACGAATTAAAGCACTGCTGCAGAGGTAAGCACAATGTATTGACACGTCTGTGTGCTGTGTTTTACAGTCACTTCATTGCTTTCTGCTCACCTCAGGAAAACATGCAATTTGCTCATTGTTTTGCCATGTGTTCCGTAGCATTAAGAGGAGTGATCATTGATAAAATGATAATAACTAGGCAGGGAGTGCAACTCCACTTTCTCGCTTCAGCTTGCCAAGACTGGGGAGCTGACTAAGCAGTGTCCAGGCTGGGAGTGGACAGGGAGCAGATCTGGTTATTTTATAAACTGAGTGGAAACACCCCGGGGGGACCTGCAACCTGAAACCCGCTCAAGTGGTTTGGCACACAATGTGATAGAACCCTCACATCACCTATGAGATGCGAGACAAAGGCCATGCTATTGTACGGAGTCTTTCTTCCCCCCGGGCAGAAATGGATCCTGCTTCCTCAGTGCTTGCCAGCTACCCAAGTTGTTCAGTAATTGTTTAACTTCACGCTGATGAATGAATGGTAAAACTGAACCAGAGCTGCAGAACGCAGTTCAAAGGGTTCAGCTCTTCAGCAAGATGAAAAGGATGGATAATTCATGGGTAGCAATGTCCAGAAATGAAATATGAAAGCGCTGATAAATGATAACTGGGTTTCTAAGTTTCAAGAAAGGAACACATGGAATGGATAAAAATTGAAGCATAAAGCATTAGCATTACGTGGCCTTGCTTGTCACATGATGCTGATTTCCTGGACATTTGAGGGGAAATTTTTGGGTTTGCCAATCTCCACCACCGGTGGAAGCATTACCCTTTTTGCTCCAGAGACTCTTCAAAAGACCAAGCCATGCAAGGCCCCTTTTTTCTGCAGCACCCTTCTGGAAGTGCATGGCACACAGTGCCTGCCCCTACCTGTCTGCATTGGGTTTGACCATGGAATAACTCGTTTTCATCTCAACAAAGCAAACAATCCATGTGTCAGGAGTTCCATGCCTACCATGCTGTGAATTCTCACTTTGTACCCAGATGTTATCAGTGATACATTTTACCTCTAATCACAAGTTTCTAATCAGCTTCCTTACATTTTTTACTTTTATTTAACCAGGGGCTGCAGCAAAACAATGTGCTCTTGTGAGTGTGTGTTCTAAAAATATTTTTTTAGCAAGAGAAAAGAACTTGAAAACCTTGAGCCAAGGGAGTTCTTTGTATTCTTTCTTTTAGTTTTGCCCTTATTTTGACAGTTACATCTCTATCTGCTCCACAGGCTGCTGCACAGGGAGCAGCTCCGCCCTGATCCAGAGGTGGTTCCGAGGTTATGAAAATTTACTCACCGATTCACTCCATGCACTGTGGCTCTTGTGAAATGAATTCATTTAGAAGTTTAATTACTGGAGATTAAATATATGACAGTAGAGGTAGAGTGGAACATAATGCTGATGCTCAGCCAACCTTGAACTTGCACGTTTGACTTGCTCAGCAAAACCCCATCAGATTTGTTGAACCATCAGATTTGCCTTCGTATGTTTTCAGGCTGGTGTTTGCAGGGGCTGGCATTTTCTTCTGTGATTTTTGTGATGCTGGAGAATTATGCTAAAAGTACTGAAGTCTGCATCTTTTTTTCTTGGCTTTGAAAAAGTACTCAGCTGTGGATTAAAGAAAGTTAGTATTATATACATAGTGGCCCTTTATATAATCTCTTTGAAAGATGCTTTTCCAGTTTTATTTTGCTAACAAAGGCATGACATACATGGGTCAAAGCCTACTTTCAGCTTTACTGTGTCGTAAAAAAAAAGTGATAGTTGATGGAGAGGGACAGAAATATGTAATGAAAATAATAAAAAAAGAGAGCTGAGCCAATAAAATCCCAGAAGGTAGAAATGGGAGCTGTAAAATGAAAAAAAAAAGTTTAAGACTATTTTAATTAAATTTTGTAATAAGTTTGAGAAATTACCCATTTTGACTGTGAGGAAACAATCTGTGACAACCCAGGCACTTCTTATTTTTAACCCAGACTGCTAGTGACTGTGGATGGTTCTCATCTATCCACTGGCTTAACCATTTGCTTGATCTGGGGGCAGATTATGTCCCAGTCCCTGGCCAGTTCCCACCTGGGAATATTTTGCACAGATCATACCTCTCCCCGGGATGTGCATGGGGTGCATGAGTGGATGTACAAACCAATATCCATCTGCTGCAGAGGCTGGGAAGTGTGAGTGCGACCAGCACTTCTCCCCTGGGGCACAGCACGGAGGGGCAGCTCCTTGCCCCTGTGCATCTCTTGTACCCAGGGGAGCTGGAAGGGCTCCAAAGGAAATTTGGAAACACCTCCTCCCTGGGATCACAGAGTGACACTGAGACAGGGCCTGGCTCATTCTCTAGGACAGACCAGCTGGGTCTAGGCTGCTCCCTGCAGATTCCCATCCAAGCTGAACCCAATTACTGAGATGTCTCACCTGCCCAAAGGGTGTAAATGACTGCAGGGGAGAAGCCCACAGCTCACCCATCTGGGGTGGAGCATTAGGAGTTTGTTCTGGCTACATGGAGCTCCTTAAAAACAGGCACAGTTCAGCCTCTGCTGTTTGTTGGCTGAGCAGACTTCTGGGAGGCAGCATGG